ACCTTGAATTGTGTCCGGAGACCAATTGGTAGCCAGTGCAGCTCGCGGAGGACAGTGTAACCTGGGTGTACCTCGGTGCACCCACTATCGCTCGCGCGGCCGCATTCTAGACTAATTGCAGTCTCCGAATGCTTTTCAAGGGTAGCCCCCATATTTTGCTAATATGACAGTAGGATGAGCAATGATAGAAAGTGGAGAAGCCAAGGGGATGATGGTGGGGGAACCAAGATGTCCCTCCTAATAAAAATGGGAAGATATAACTGCCAAAGTGTACAAAAATTGCACTCTATCGAGGAGAAGCTTTCAAGCGGGCCGGGACACATTGTACTTACTTCATGATAAGAATGTAGATGAAATACATCAGCACTAGGATTAAGGATTCCCACCTGTGATCAGCCAAGGAGGAAAAAAGGAAAAAAAATAAACAGCACAGTTCCATGACTATGATTGTCTTCTCTTCTGAAATTCAGGCCAATGATACAAGGAAGGGTGAATGATGACAAGTGCGCAGCATAGAGGGCAAGATACCCTCTAATAATAATATTGCTTATGGAGAGTGAGATGGCACATGATAGTGAAAGGAGAAATCTGAGGTATCAAAAATGAAGCTGGCTGGACAGGGAGAAGGCATAGCAGAGTGACTGGGCAAAATGTACAACTGAAAACAGCATGCTGATTCTTTTCAACCTCTGACCTTGAGGTGGCACTCATTCTCTTGAGATGTGACTGTGCGAAGAATAAATCCCTAAAATGTTGGGCCAAACTATAAGTCTTAGTCTATGTGTGTCCCAAATCCAATGATTTGGAATGGAAGCATCATCTGACAAAAGAGCTAGCAATATATAATGGACATGACACAGCTCATCATAATCATTCACTAAAACCTGCAGTGCAATTCCTTATTACCAAGCTTCCCTTTATATATGTGAATTTGGCATTACATTTAAGGTTGGTTGGGAGAATTACTTTGATCCTGAGGGCTGATCCAAAAGTCCTGGGAAAAAAGGTTTTCTCTTTTAATTTTTTTAAAAAAGATTTCGACAAATCATTCTATTATTTAATTGTCCTGAAGGAAGGAAATTGGTCCCTGAGCAGTTTAGCAGAACACTGGTTTTTCTACTTTTTTAAATTGGCAAATGACAACCGTACTACTTACCAAACAACTTTTTCATCATAAATAAACTGAGGGGGGAAAATGAAAAAAAAAACATATTACTGTGAGGAACTGCTAATAAAATATATCTTGCTTTTTAAAAAAGAATCTCATATCTCAGTATTTTATGCTGGCTCTGTAACCCAAATTATTCTACACATTTCATTCTCCCAGACTCCATAAGCATCTGTAATGTAGAACTACATACATTACATGTAATTTTTGTTTTAAATTAACATGTGAATTAGAGCAAAAAGGCAGAGTTTAAATAAATCACAGTTATATTTATAAATGCCATTTCAGAGTTTGAGTTTCCAATTTAATTATCCAACAGCAATTTATCTAATTTTAAATAAAATGCACATATTAAATCATATAGAGAGGCAAATAAGTGGGATATAAAGTTCCGTTAAGTAGTTGTATGTGCAACACACGAGACTCTCTCACTTTGCACTGTGAACTTCATGTAAAGAACTCAGTTAGCAATAGCAATAGCAGCTAGACTTATATACCGCTTCATAGGGCTTTCAGCCCTCTCTAAGCGGTTTACANAAAAAAAAAAAAAAATCATATTCACAGCCAACCAAACAGGAATGTAAAATAATCCTGATACAGAAAATGGGGATGAATTGTTTTGTTCCTTTCCTAAAATGTATGCTGTGAAAACATGAAGCAGATTCCTCTGACTCTCAAATCCAAAAAAGGAATATAGATAGAAGTCTGAAAGGGTCAAAAGAAAAGAGTTTAGGATTTAAATCCTGGGGTTGATATACACATAAGAGGACTTGGCTCCTATGTTGTGTGCACTACGTAGATCATCTCCATTTATATTTGCGCCACCGAAGAAAGGTTGTGGGTTTCCTATGATCCCACCCAAGACGATAGGTTGCTTGCTTCTGATCTTAGCAGCACATGGGTCAGGACATTTCCTGATAGAGATTGACCTAAATAACTGGTTAGCCCAGGGATCAGCAACTTTAAACACTCAAAGAGCCACAAAGGTCCTAAGTCAAAGCCCCCTGTTCAATTCTGAAACCGACTGGAAGTCCGGCTCCCCTGCCATAGAGTCTTCTCCTAGTGTGGTGTCCTTTTTCCTCTACCTGTTCTAACTGAAAGCCCTATCTTTGGGCTATCAACTGTGGACAGGGAGCCGCAGGGAGGGATGAAAGAGCCACATGAGAGTCCAGAGCTGCAGATTGCTGACCCCTGGGTTAGCCTAAAGACAGGGATCTCTCTTTTGCCTCCTCACGAGCACTGCAGCCATCAATAAGCCTTTAGCTGGCATCATATGGTGAAAAATTCTGTAACAATCTGCTTTTTCTTTGTGCTAACACTGTCCACATCCATTACAGTAGAAAATGAATATGCTGTAATGTCTTTTCTGGGCTTCATTTGGTTGTATTAAATATTAATTCATTACAGAATGCAAGGAATGATAGCATGCTTTCTATAGCTCTAGCATCTCATTTTATTTTCTGCAACTGAAACTAATCTCAATGATACTGGAAATAAAAGTGGCTCATTAATACAAATCCTGAATGTCTTAAAAACCTAATCTACCCTTAATAGTTGGAAGAATCTTGTGGATGGATTGTTTCTACATGCATGCCTGCTGCTGTCATTTGCAGTAAATTTTAACTACATTTTCATATTTAGTTGAGTCAAGAGGAAAATGATATCTTGAAGATGAAAATGTTAGGTCACTGAACAGGGCACAAGAGATTAAAAATGAAAGTAGGTAAAAATCAAGATGAGGCAAAAAGAACCATCCAATTTCTGTGAAACAATTAAAAAAAATGGAGCCATGAAGACAGCATCTAGAGAAAGAGAGATGTTCCTTAACATGTCCTGAAACCAGCTATTATTTCTTCTTAACACAAAGTGGTGGTGGGGGTATTATATATTAATCTGTCTGATGAGATGATAGTATGGTGGAAAACTAGAATAAAATCAAGGGATAGTAAAAGATTTGAGAGATCTTTCAGATATAGCAATAACCACAATAACAAAGAATTATGTCAGCATTTTGAGTGTCCCATATTCAGAGAACTTAGACTTGCAAAATCTACTTCTAAGTGCTGAATTTGAAAAATTTGCAGAAAAGAAATGGGCACATAAATGCCATCCAGGGACATGCATTCACTAGAGGCAGGGGAGGTGAGGCCTCACCAGTCATGAGAAAAAGGAAAGAATTTTAAAGAATTTTAAAAAAATAATTAAAGCCAAGGTAGTTGCTACCAGATTCATAGTGATTTGGAACAGTGCTTAGTGTTAACTATAGGAGGAGGCCAGAGAAATAGGGGCCTCCTGTGCATAAGCAATTTTTCGCCTTTTAAGAGTTA